CAGGCGCAGGAGAATCTGCAGCTCCAGGCGCAGGAGAATCTGCAGCTCCAGGCGCAGGAGAATCTGCAGCTCCAGGCGCAGGAGAATCTGCAGCTCCAGGCGCAGGAGAATCTGCAGCTCCAGGCGCAGGAGAATCTGCAGCTCCAGGCGCAGGAGAATCTGCAGCTCCAGGCGCAGGAGAATCTGCAGCTCCAGGCGCAGGAGAATCTGCAGCTCCAGGCGCAGGAGAATCTGCAGCTCCAGGCGCAGGAGAAATCTGCAGCTCCAGGCGCAGGAGAATCTGCAGCTCCAGCGCAGAGAATCTGCAGCTCCAGACGCAGGAGAATCTGCAGCTCCAGGCGCAGGAGAATCTGCAGCTCCAGGCGCAGGAGAATCTGCAGCTCCAGGCGCAGGAGAATCTGCAGCTCCAGGCGCAGGAGAATCTGCAGCTCCAGGCGCAGGAGAATCTGCAGCTCCAGGCGCAGGAGAATCTGCAGCTCCAGGCGCAGGAGAATCTGCAGCTCCAGGCGCAGGAGAATCTGCAGCTCCAGGCGCAGGAGAATCTGCAGCTCCAGACGCAGGAGAATCTGCAGCTCCAGGCGCAGGAGAATCTGCAGCTCCAGGCGCAGGAGAATCTGCAGCTCCAGGCGCAGGAGAATCTGCAGCTCCAGGCGCAGGAGAATCTGCAGCTCCCACGCAGGAGAATCTGCAGCTCCAGGCGCAGGAGAATCTGCAGCTCCAGGCGCAGGAGAATCTGCAGCTCCAGGCGCAGGAGAATCTGCAGCTCCAGGCGCAGGAGAATCTGCAGCTCCAGGCGCAGGAGAATCTGCAGCTCCAGGCGCAGGAGAATCTGCAGCTCCAGGCGCAGGAGAAATCTGCAGCTCCAGACGGCAGGAGAATCTGCAGCTCCAGAGAGGCGCAGGCAATCTGCAGCTCCAGGCGCAGGAGAATCTGCAGCTCCAGGCGCAGGAGAATCTGCACGCTCAGGCGCAGGAGAATCTGCAGCTCCAGGCGCAGGAGAATCTGCAGCTCCAGGCGCAGGAGAATCTGCAGCTCCAGGCGCAGGAGAATCTGCAGCTCCAGGCGCAGGAGAATCTGCAGCTCCAGGCGCAGGAGAATCTGCAGCTCCAGGCGCAGGAGAATCTGCAGCTCCAGGCGCAGGAGAATCTGCAGCTCCAGGCGCAGGAGAATCTGCAGCTCCAGGCGCAGGAGAATCTGCAGCTCCAGGCGCAGGAGAATCTGCAGCTCCAGGCGCAGGAGAATCTGCAGCTCCAGGCGCAGGAGAATCTGCAGCTCCAGACGCAGGAGAATCTGCAGCTCCAGGCGCAGGAGAATCTGCAGCTCCAGGCGCAGGAGAATCTGCAGCTCCAGACGCAGGAGAATCTGCAGCTCCAGGCGCAGGAGAATCTGCAGCTCCAGGCGCAGGAGAATCTGCAGCTCCAGGCGCAGGAGAATCTGCAGCTCCAGACGCAGGAGAATCTGCAGCTCCAGGCGCAGGAGAATCTGCAGCTCCAGGCGCAGGAGAATCTGCAGCTCCAGGCGCAGGAGAATCTGCAGCTCCAGGCGCAGGAGAATCTGCAGCTCCAGGCGCAGGGAAAGAAATCTGGCAGCTCCAGGCGCAGGAGAATCTGCAGCTCCAGGCGCAGGAGAATCTGCAGCTCCAGGCGCAGGAGAATCTGCAGCTCCAGGCGCAGGAGAATCTGCAGCTCCAGGCGCAGGAGAATCTGCAGCTCCAGGCGCAGGAGAATCTGCAGCTCCAGGCGCAGGAGAATCTGCAGCTCCAGACGCAGGAGAATCTGCAGCTCCAGGCGCAGGAGAATCTGCAGCTCCAGGCGCAGGAGAATCTGCAGCTCCAGGCGCAGGAGAATCTGCAGCTCCAGGCGCAGGAGAATCTGCAGCTCCAGGCGCAGGAGAATCTGCAGCTCCAGGCGCAGGAGAATCTGCAGCTCCAGGCGCAGGAGAATCTGCAGCTCCAGACGCAGGAGAATCTGCAGCTCCAGGCGCAGGAGAATCTGCAGCTCCAGGCGCAGGAGAATCTGCAGCTCCAGACGCAGGAGAATCTGCAGCTCCAGACGCAGGAGAATCTGCAGCTCCAGGCGCAGGAGAATCTGCAGCTCCAGGCGCAGGAGAATCTGCAGCTCCAGGCGCAGGAGAATCTGCAGCTCCAGGCGCAGGAGAATCTGCAGCTCCAGGCGCAGGAGAATCTGCAGCTCCAGGCGCAGGAGAATCTGCAGCTCCAGGCGCAGGAGAATCTGCAGCTCCAGGCGCAGGAGAATCTGCAGCTCCAGACGCAGGAGAATCTGCAGCTCCAGACGCAGGAGAATCTGCAGCTCCAGACGCAGGAGAATCTGCAGCTCCAGGCGCAGGAGAATCTGCAGCTCCAGACGCAGGAGAATCTGCAGCTCCAGACGCAGGAGAATCTGCAGCTCCAGGCGCAGGAGAATCTGCAGCTCCAGGCGCAGGAGAATCTGCAGCTCCAGGCGCAGGAGAATCTGCAGCTCCAGGCGCAGGAGAATCTGCAGCTCCAGACGCAGGAGAATCTGCAGCTCCAGACGCAGGAGAATCTGCAGCTCCAGGCGCAGGAGAATCTGCAGCTCCAGGCGCAGGAGAATCTGCAGCTCCAGGCGCAGGAGAATCTGCAGCTCCAGGCGCAGGAGAATCTGCAGCTCCAGGCGCAGGAGAATCTGCAGCTCCAGGCGCAGGAGAATCTGCAGCTCCAGGCGCAGGAGAATCTGCAGCTCCAGGCGCAGGAGAATCTGCAGCTCCAGACGCAGGAGAATCTGCAGCTCCAGGCGCAGGAGAATCTGCAGCTCCAGGCGCAGGAGAATCTCAGCTCCAGGCCAGGCGCAGGAGAATCTGCAGCTCCAGGCGCAGGAGAATCTGCAGCTCCAGGCGCAGGAGAATCTGCAGCTCCAGGCGCAGGAGAATCTGCAGCTCCAGACGCAGGAGAATCTGCAGCTCCAGACGCAGGAGAATCTGCAGCTCCAGGCGCAGGAGAATCTGCAGCTCCAGGCGCAGGAGAATCTGCAGCTCCAGGCGCAGGAGAATCTGCAGCTCCAGGCGCAGGAGAATCTGCAGCTCCAGGCGCAGGAGAATCTGCAGCTCCAGGCGCAGGAGAATCTGCAGCTCCAGGCGCAGGAGAATCTGCAGCTCCAGGCGCAGGAGAATCTGCAGCTCCAGACGCAGGAGAATCTGCAGCTCCAGACGCAGGAGAATCTGCAGCTCCAGACGCAGGAGAATCTGCAGCTCCAGGCGCAGGAGAATCGAATCTCCAGCTCCAGGCGCAGGAGAATCTGCAGCTCCAGGCGCAGGAGAATCTGCAGCTCCAGGCGCAGGAGAATCTGCAGCTCCAGGCGCAGGAGAATCTGCAGCTCCAGGCGCAGGAAATCTGCAGCTCCAGGCGCAGGAGAATCTGCAGCTCCAGGCGCAGGAGAATCTGCAGCTCCAGGCGCAGGAGAATCTGCAGCTCCAGGCGCAGGAGAATCTGCAGCTCCAGGCGCAGGAGAATCTGCAGCTCCAGGCGCAGGAGAATCTGCAGCTCCAGGCGCAGGAGAATCTGCAGCTCCAGGCGCAGGAGAATCTGCAGCTCCAGGCGCAGGAGAATCTGCAGCTCCAGGCGCAGGAGAATCTGCAGCTCCAGGCGCAGGAGAATCTGCAGCTCCAGGCGCAGGAGAATCTGCAGCTCCAGGCGCAGGAGAATCTGCAGCTCCAGGCGCAGGAGAATCTGCAGCTCCAGGCGCAGGAGAATCTGCAGCTCCAGGCGCAGGAGAATCTGCAGCTCCAGGCGCAGGAGAATCTGCAGCTCCAGGCGCAGGAGAATCTGCAGCTCCAGACGCAGGAGAATCTGCAGCTCCAGACGCAGGAGAATCTGCAGCTCCAGGCGCAGGAGAATCTGCAGCTCCAGACGCAGGAGAATCTGCAGCTCCAGACGCAGGAGAATCTGCAGCTCCAGGCGCAGGAGAATCTGCAGCTCCAGGCGCAGGAGAATCTGCAGCTCCAGGCGCAGGAGAATCTGCAGCTCCAGACGCAGGAGAATCTGCAGCTCCAGACGCAGGAGAATCTGCAGCTCCAGACGCAGGAGAATCTGCAGCTCCAGGCGCAGGAGAATCTGCAGCTCCAGACGCAGGAGAATCTGCAGCTCCAGACGCAGGAGAATCTGCAGCTCCAGACGCAGGAGAATCTGCAGCTCCAGACGCAGGAGAATCTGCAGCTCCAGGCGCAGGAGAATCTGCAGCTCCAGGCGCAGGAGAATCTGCAGCTCCAGGCGCAGGAGAATCTGCAGCTCCAGGCGCAGGAGAATCTGCAGCTCCAGGCGCAGGAGAATCTGCAGCTCCAGGCGCAGGAGAATCTGCAGCTCCAGACGCAGGAGAATCTGCAGCTCCAGGCGCAGGAGAATCTGCAGCTCCAGGCGCAGGAGAATCTGCAGCTCCAGGCGCAGGAGAATCTGCAGCTCCAGGCGCAGGAGAATCTGCAGCTCCAGGCGCAGGAGAATCTGCAGCTCCAGGCGCAGGAGAATCTGCAGCTCCAGGCGCAGGAGAATCTGCAGCTCCAGGCGCAGGAGAATCTGCAGCTCCAGGCGCAGGAGAATCTGCAGCTCCAGGCGCAGGAGAATCTGCAGCTCCAGGCGCAGGAGAATCTGCAGCTCCAGGCGCAGGAGAATCTGCAGCTCCAGGCGCAGGAGAATCTGCAGCTCCAGGCGCAGGAGAATCTGCAGCTCCAGGCGCAGGAGAATCTGCAGCTCCAGGCGCAGGAGAATCTGCAGCTCCAGACGCAGGAGAATCTGCAGCTCCAGACGCAGGAGAATCTGCAGCTCCAGACGCAGGAGAATCTGCAGCTCCAGGCGCAGGAGAATCTGCAGCTCCAGGCGCAGGAGAATCTGCAGCTCCAGACGCAGGAGAATCTGCAGCTCCAGGCGCAGGAGAATCTGCAGCTCCAGGCGCAGGAGAATCTGCAGCTCCAGACGCAGGAGATACTGCAGCTCCAGGCGCAGGAGAATCTGCAGCTCCAGGCGCAGGAGAATCTGCAGCTCCAGACGCAGGAGAATCTGCAGCTCCAGACGCAGGAGAATCTGCAGCTCCAGGCGCAGGAGAATCTGCAGCTCCAGGCGCAGGAGAATCTGCAGCTCCAGGCGCAGGAGAATCTGCAGCTCCAGGCGCAGGAGAATCTGCAGCTCCAGGCGCAGGAGAATCTGCAGCTCCAGGCGCAGGAGAATCTGCAGCTCCAGGCGCAGGAGAATCTGCAGCTCCAGGCGCAGGAGAATCTGCAGCTCCAGGCGCAGGAGAATCTGCAGCTCCAGGCGCAGGAGAATCTGCAGCTCCAGGCGCAGGAGAATCTGCAGCTCCAGGCGCAGGAGAATCTGCAGCTCCAGGCGCAAGAGAATCTGCAGCTCTAGAGCGCAGGAGAATCTGCAGCTCCAGACGCAGGAGAATCTGCAGCTCCAGGCGCAGGAGAATCTGCAGCTCCAGACGCAGGAGAATCTGCAGCTCCAGACGCAGGAGAATCTGCAGCTCCAGGCGCAGGAGAATCTGCAGCTCCAGGCGCAGGAGAATCTGCAGCTCCAGGCGCAGGAGAATCTGCAGCTCCAGGCGCAGGAGAATCTGCAGCTCCAGACGCAGGAGAATCTGCAGCTCCAGGCGCAGGAGAATCTGCAGCTCCAGGCGCAGGAGAATCTGCAGCTCCAGGCGCAGGAGAATCTGCAGCTCCAGGCGCAGGAGAATCTGCAGCTCCAGGCGCAGGAGAATCTGCAGCTCCAGGCGCAGGAGAATCTGCAGCTCCAGGCGCAGGAGAATCTGCAGCTCCAGGCGCAGGAGAATCTGCAGCTCCAGGCGCAGGAGAATCTGCAGCTCCAGGCGCAGGAGAATCTGCAGCTCCAGACGCAGGAGAATCTGCAGCTCCAGGCGCAGGAGAATCTGCAGCTCCAGGCGCAGGAGAATCTGCAGCTCCAGACGCAGGAGAATCTGCAGCTCCAGACGCAGGAGAATCTGCAGCTCCAGACGCAGGAGAATCTGCAGCTCCAGGCGCAGGAGAATCTGCAGCTCCAGGCGCAGGAGAATCTGCAGCTCCAGGCGCAGGAGAATCTGCAGCTCCAGGCGCAGGAGAATCTGCAGCTCCAGGCGCAGGAGAATCTGCAGCTCCAGGCGCAGGAGAATCTGCAGCTCCAGGCGCAGGAGAATCTGCAGCTCCAGGCGCAGGAGAATCTGCAGCTCCAGACGCAGGAGAATCTGCAGCTCCAGGCGCAGGAGAATCTGCAGCTCCAGGCGCAGGAGAATCTGCAGCTCCAGGCGCAGGAGAATCTGCAGCTCCAGGCGCAGGAGAATCTGCAGCTCCAGGCGCAGGAGAATCTGCAGCTCCAGGCGCAGGAGAATCTGCAGCTCCAGGCGCAGGAGAATCTGCAGCTCCAGGCGCAGGAGAATCTGCAGCTCCAGGCGCAGGAGAATCTGCAGCTCCAGGCGCAGGAGAATCTGCAGCTCCAGGCGCAGGAGAATCTGCAGCTCCAGGCGCAGGAGAATCTGCAGCTCCAGGCGCAGGAGAATCTGCAGCTCCAGGCGCAGGAGAATCTGCAGCTCCAGGCGCAGGAGAATCTGCAGCTCCAGGCGCAGGAGAATCTGCAGCTCCAGACGCAGGAGAATCTGCAGCTCCAGACGCAGGAGAATCTGCAGCTCCAGACGCAGGAGAATCTGCAGCTCCAGGCGCAGGAGAATCTGCAGCTCCAGACGCAGGAGAATCTGCAGCTCCAGACGCAGGAGAATCTGCAGCTCCAGGCGCAGGAGAATCTGCAGCTCCAGGCGCAGGAGAATCTGCAGCTCCAGACGCAGGAGAATCTGCAGCTCCAGGCGCAGGAGAATCTGCAGCTCCAGGCGCAGGAGAATCTGCAGCTCCAGACGCAGGAGAATCTGCAGCTCCAGACGCAGGAGAATCTGCAGCTCCAGGCGCAGGAGAATCTGCAGCTCCAGGCGCAGGAGAATCTGCAGCTCCAGGCGCAGGAGAATCTGCAGCTCCAGGCGCAGGAGAATCTGCAGCTCCAGGCGCAGGAGAATCTGCAGCTCCAGGCGCAGGAGAATCTGCAGCTCCAGGCGCAGGAGAATCTGCAGCTCCAGACGCAGGAGAATCTGCAGCTCCAGGCGCAGGAGAATCTGCAGCTCCAGGCGCAGGAGAATCTGCAGCTCCAGGCGCAGGAGAATCTGCAGCTCCAGGCGCAGGAGAATCTGCAGCTCCAGGCGCAGGAGAATCTGCAGCTCCAGACGCAGGAGAATCTGCAGCTCCAGGCGCAGGAGAATCTGCAGCTCCAGGCGCAGGAGAATCTGCAGCTCCAGACGCAGGAGAATCTGCAGCTCCAGACGCAGGAGAATCTGCAGCTCCAGGCGCAGGAGAATCTGCAGCTCCAGGCGCAGGAGAATCTGCAGCTCCAGGCGCAGGAGAATCTGCAGCTCCAGGCGCAGGAGAATCTGCAGCTCCAGCGCCAGGCTGCTCCAGGCGCAGGAGAATCTGCAGCTCCAGGCGCAGGAGAATCTGCAGCTCCAGGCGCAGGAGAATCTGCAGCTCCAGGCGCAGGAGAATCTGCAGCTCCAGGCGCAGGAGAATCTGCAGCTCCAGGCGCAGGAGAATCTGCAGCTCCAGGCGCAGGAGAATCTGCAGCTCCAGGCGCAGGAGAATCTGCAGCTCCAGGCGCAGGAGAATCTGCAGCTCCAGGCGCAGGAGAATCTGCAGCTCCAGGCGCAGGAGAATCTGCAGCTCCAGGCGCAGGAGAATCTGCAGCTCCAGGCGCAGGAGAATCTGCAGCTCCAGACGCAGGAGAATCTGCAGCTCCAGGCGCAGGAGAATCTGCAGCTCCAGGCGCAGGAGAATCTGCAGCTCCAGGCGCAGGAGAATCTGCAGCTCCAGGCGCAGGAGAATCTGCAGCTCCAGGCGCAGGAGAATCTGCAGCTCCAGGCGCAGGAGAATCTGCAGCTCCAGGCGCAGGAGAATCTGCAGCTCCAGGCGCAGGAGAATCTGCAGCTCCAGACGCAGGAGAATCTGCAGCTCCAGACGCAGGAGAATCTGCAGCTCCAGGCGCAGGAGAATCTGCAGCTCCAGGCGCAGGAGAATCTGCAGCTCCAGACGCAGGAGAATCTGCAGCTCCAGACGCAGGAGAATCTGCAGCTCCAGGCGCAGGAGAATCTGCAGCTCCAGACGCAGGAGAATCTGCAGCTCCAGGCGCAGGAGAATCTGCAGCTCCAGGCGCAGGAGAATCTGCAGCTCCAGGCGCAGGAGAATCTGCAGCTCCAGACGCAGGAGAATCTGCAGCTCCAGGCGCAGGAGAATCTGCAGCTCCAGGCGCAGGAGAATCTGCAGCTCCAGGCGCAGGAGAATCTGCAGCTCCAGGCGCAGGAGAATCTGCAGCTCCAGGCGCAGGAGAATCTGCAGCTCCAGGCGCAGGAGAATCTGCAGCTCCAGGCGCAGGAGAATCTGCAGCTCCAGGCGCAGGAGAATCTGCAGCTCCAGGCGCAGGAGAATCTGCAGCTCCAGGCGCAGGAGAATCTGCAGCTCCAGACGCAGGAGAATCTGCAGCTCCAGACGCAGGAGAATCTGCAGCTCCAGGCGCAGGAGAATCTGCAGCTCCAGACGCAGGAGAATCTGCAGCTCCAGACGCAGGAGAATCTGCAGCTCCAGGCGCAGGAGAATCTGCAGCTCCAGGCGCAGGAGAATCTGCAGCTCCAGGTGCAGGAAATGAATGCAGCTCCAGGCGCAGGAGAATCTGCAGCTCCAGACGCAGGAGAATCTGCAGCTCCAGACGCAGGAGAATCTGCAGCTCCAGGCGCAGGAGAATCTGCAGCTCCAGGCGCAGGAGAATCTGCAGCTCCAGGCGCAGGAGAATCTGCAGCTCCAGGCGCAGGAGAATCTGCAGCTCCAGGCGCAGGAGAATCTGCAGCTCCAGGCGCAGGAGAATCTGCAGCTCCAGGCGCAGGAGAATCTGCAGCTCCAGGCGCAGGAGAATCTGCAGCTCCAGACGCAGGAGAATCTGCAGCTCCAGGCGCAGGAGAATCTGCAGCTCCAGGCGCAGGAGAATCTGCAGCTCCAGGCGCAGGAGAATCTGCAGCTCCAGGCGCAGGAGAATCTGCAGCTCCAGGCGCAGGAGAATCTGCAGCTCCAGGCGCAGGAGAATCTGCAGCTCCAGGCGCAGGAGAATCTGCAGCTCCAGGCGCAGGAGAATCTGCAGCTCCAGACGCAGGAGAATCTGCAGCTCCAGACGCAGGAGAATCTGCAGCTCCAGGCGCAGGAGAATCTGCAGCTCCAGACGCAGGAGAATCTGCAGCTCCAGGCGCAGGAGAATCTGCAGCTCCAGGCGCAGGAGAATCTGCAGCTCCAGGCGCAGGAGAATCTGCAGCTCCAGGCGCAGGAGAATCTGCAGCTCCAGACGCAGGAGAATCTGCAGCTCCAGGCGCAGGAGAATCTGCAGCTCCAGGCGCAGGAGAATCTGCAGCTCCAGACGCAGGAGAATCTGCAGCTCCAGACGCAGGAGAATCTGCAGCTCCAGGCGCAGGAGAATCTGCAGCTCCAGACGCAGGAGAATCTGCAGCTCCAGGCGCAGGAGAATCTGCAGCTCCAGGCGCAGGAGAATCTGCAGCTCCAGGCGCAGGAGAATCTGCAGCTCCAGGCGCAGGAGAATCTGCAGCTCCAGGCGCAGGAGAATCTGCAGCTCCAGGCGCAGGAGAATCTGCAGCTCCAGACGCAGGAGAATCTGCAGCTCCAGACGCAGGAGAATCTGCAGCTCCAGGCGCAGGAGAATCTGCAGCTCCAGACGCAGGAGAATCTGCAGCTCCAGGCGCAGGAGAATCTGCAGCTCCAGGCGCAGGAGAATCTGCAGCTCCAGGCGCAGGAGAATCTGCAGCTCCAGGCGCAGGAGAATCTGCAGCTCCAGACGCAGGAGAATCTGCAGCTCCAGGCGCAGGAGAATCTGCAGCTCCAGGCGCAGGAGAATCTGCAGCTCCAGACGCAGGAGAATCTGCAGCTCCAGACGCAGGAGAATCTGCAGCTCCAGGCGCAGGAGAATCTGCAGCTCCAGGCGCAGGAGAATCTGCAGCTCCAGGCGCAGGAGAATCTGCAGCTCCAGGCGCAGGAGAATCTGCAGCTCCAGGCGCAGGAGAATCTGCAGCTCCAGGCGCAGGAGAATCTGCAGCTCCAGGCGCAGGAGAATCTGCAGCTCCAGGCGCAGGAGAATCTGCAGCTCCAGGCGCAGGAGAATCTGCAGCTCCAGGCGCAGGAGAATCTGCAGCTCCAGGCGCAGGAGAATCTGCAGCTCCAGGCGCAGGAGAATCTGCAGCTCCAGGCGCAGGAGAATCTGCAGCTCCAGACGCAGGAGAATCTGCAGCTCCAGGCGCAGGAGAATCTGCAGCTCCAGGCGCAGGAGAATCTGCAGCTCCAGACGCAGGAGAATCTGCAGCTCCAGACGCAGGAGAATCTGCAGCTCCAGGCGCAGGAGAATCTGCAGCTCCAGGCGCAGGAGAATCTGCAGCTCCAGGCGCAGGAGAATCTGCAGCTCCAGACGCAGGAGAATCTGCAGCTCCAGACGCAGGAGAATCTGCAGCTCCAGGCGCAGGAGAATCTGCAGCTCCAGGCGCAGGAGAATCTGCAGCTCCAGGCGCAGGAGAATCTGCAGCTCCAGGCGCAGGAGAATCTGCAGCTCCAGGCGCAGGAGAATCTGCAGCTCCAGGCGCAGGAGAATCTGCAGCTCCAGGCGCAGGAGAATCTGCAGCTCCAGGCGCAGGAGAATCTGCAGCTCCAGACGCAGGAGAATCTGCAGCTCCAGGCGCAGGAGAATCTGCAGCTCCAGGCGCAGGAGAATCTGCAGCTCCAGGCGCAGGAGAATCTGCAGCTCCAGGCGCAGGAGAATCTGCAGCTCCAGACGCAGGGCACACCTTGAGTTCGTTGTTGAGCTCGTTTGTTGCTGAGCTGGTCAAGAGGAAAACCGGCTATGCATTGCGCTGTAACAAGGTGACTTGTAAGTTGAATCAAACATGTATGAGAAGCAGGGAGGCACACCTTGAGTTCATTGTTAAGCTCGTAGTCCAGTCGGAACTGAGCAAATGGAAGGTCCAGCTTGGATACTGTGTAGGCTGCTATCTCCCTCTGATGGTGGATGCGGTGGGAGGGGGAGGGGGAGACGAGGAGAACCGTATGGGAGGGTCCAGCTTGGCTATTGGGTAGCTTGGAATGGAATGTTCCTAGAATGGGCTGTGGTAGCAAACAGTGGCAGCAAGGGAAGATCAGGGACGGGGAAGAGGGAGAGCAAGTACATAGGTGCTTGAGCACGAGTGCAATGACCAGGTCCAGCTTCATGCCAGTTGGCTGACCACACACCACACCTCACAGCACGGAACCGCACAGCCCCATGCAACACGTCACGGAACTGCTCAGCACCACACCTCACAGCACGGAAGCGCACAGCACCATTCAACACGGCACGGAACTGCTCAGCACCACACCTCACAGCACGGAAGCGTATAGCACCATGCAACACGGCATGGAACTGCTCAGCACCACACCTCACAGCACCGAACCGCACAGCACCACTCAACGCAGCACGGTACCGCTCAGCACCTGGTAAAATGCCATGCCCTGGAGAGTGGAGGTGTGGCTGTCTGTGGGCGAGAGCCCGAGGATGTGAGTATACTGATGCAGCTGTGGATGGATAGATAGGGGGCAGAGGAAGGGGGTTGCAGGGTGGAGGAATGGCGGAGTGAGTGAGTGAATGGCTTGCCTAGCACAAGAAGTGGGCTTGTGAGCAGAGACTGTAAAACAACTGACAAGGAAACAACTGTCGAGGAAGCAACTGACGAGGCAAGTGGAGTGAGAGCCTGAGAGCGCAGGCAGATTGAGGCTTGTGGGTGGAGTGAAAATCTTCACTCACCGCTGCCTCAAAATCACCCAGCGCATGGTGTGCAGAAGCTTCCAGGTAGTTGAGCTCTATGTCGTCGGGATTCAGCTTCAAGCCCCTCCTCGCCGTGGTTACCACCTCCCTGGGTCAATGGCGGTCAACGGGAGTCAAGGAGAGTCAAGGGGAGTCAATGAAAGTCAAGAAGAGTTGCGCGACTCCATAGCAGCTAGCTTATGGAAAGGAGTGGAGGCATTTGAGTGCGGTGAAGGAGTGGCAGCATTTGAGTGCGGTGAAGGAGTGGAGGCATTTGAGTGCGGTGTCAGCAAGCCTGTGCTCGATGTCGCGTTATTAACACCTAGCCGGTGGCTAAGGTGTGAATTACACAGCAGCCAGGTAATGGTGCATTTCTGGTTATGTACTCTAATTTCTTTTTGTGTGCGTGGGATGTACTGTATATACGCTATAGAGCCGAGTGCAGGGGACTACAGGGAGGTTGGTGTGGAAGGAGGAATTCGATTCCAGCTGGGGAATTCGATTACAGCTGGGAATTCGATTTCAGGTTGGGAATGCAATTCCAGCTGGGAATGCGATTCCAGGCTAGGAACTCGATTCCAGCTGGAAGGCAGTGCATGCCTAGTGGGCCAGTGGGGCCCAGCTAGCACCTTGGAACCATCGCGAGCAGCTCAGCTGACTCGCGTTTGGCACTAGAGCTAGCGAGGGAAGGAAGGCTCCTAGGCAGGAGGAGGAGGGAATGTAGCCGGGGTAGCACTCTGGTTTCTCGCTTTTTGCTTGTATGTTTCTCTTCTTACTGTAATCTTGTTTTCCTAAGCCAAAGGAAGCTAGCAGTAGGGAGAAGCAGGAGCAATCTGACTGAGCCCTTGCGAGGGAGTTAAGACTTGTTCATACAAGCAAAAATAGTGTAGTGCTGAAATCTCAGCAAAATAGGCACAACGCCTGGAGGGCCTGCGGTGATGCACCGTAGGGGATGAGCGGCCTTGATCAAGAGCTGCATACTCATCAACTGCGTTCAGGGCATAGATTTCCTGCGCGGAGGATGGAGGGACAAGATTTGCCGATTAAGACACCTGGGTTTCGAGCAGGAGAAGGAACTACGACCGCGAGTGGTACTAGCAGCGCAGATCAAGGAAAAGAAGGCGACAGACGGGGAGAGCCGCCACTGAGCTCGAACTGTAATTCGCCAGCGCCAGAGATGGGACCCGGGGCAGCTGGAGTTGGGGGATCTCAACGCGGAACTCCAGAGCCGAGAAGGGGAGACCATCAAGAAGATCAGCAGAGTCAGCGAGAGGTGTTAGAATACCATCCTCACTTGTAACCTGCATCTATCCTATAAGCTACGGCTAGAGGTAGACACCCAAATGTAGTTTGGGTGTAGAGCTAGGGCTAACCCTAATTGGGGGTTGGAACTCAACACTTGGCCCCCAAGGTTGGGTTGGGAATTATTGGCCCCCCCAATAATGTTGAACCACCTTTGGTCAACATTATTGGTCCCCCCAATAATTCCTCAACCCAACTTATTGGTGGGGGCCAATAATGTTGGCTAGGCTCCCAACCAAACCATCCCTCCTAGCACAACTATGTATACCCCCTCTATTCCTAATATCATGGATGGTTCATCTTCACAATTTCTCACATGGTAATCAGAGCCACACGGCTAACACCTTCTTCGATCCTAGGAACCATACCTCCGCGTGCTAAATCACGCCCATTCCCCTCACACGACAACTAAGTCGTACTTAGTGCCTAGTGCACGCCTACGCCCTCACGGCCCCCCTCCCCCCCTACGCGAAATCTCTGCCCAATCTCCGTTCTCACGGTCAGATTTGCCGCTTAAGGCCCCCCTCCCCCCTTTCCGCCACCACGACGCGATTTCGACCGCCACCAACCCTGATCCGGGGCGACCGCCACAAACGCGACGAACACGAACGCCCTTCGCGGATTAGGGTTTCACGGGCTACCGCCGCGAACGCGACGAACGCGGGCGACCGCCGCGGACGCGACGAACGCGGGCGACCGCCACGGACGCGACGAACGCGGGCGACCGCCGCGGACGCGACGAACGCGGGCGACCGCCGCGGACGCGACGACCGCGGGCGACAGCCGCGGACGCAACGACTGCGGGCGACCGCCGCGGACGCGACGACAGCGGGCGACCGCCGCGGACGCGTCGATCGCGGGCGACCGCCACGGACGCGACGACCGCGGGCGACCGTCGCGGACGCCACGACCGTGGGCGCCCGCCGCAGCCGCGACGACCGCGGGCGACCGCCGCGGACTCGACCAGCGGAGGCGACCGCCGCGGACGCGACCAGCGGAGGCGACCGCCGCGGACGCGACCAGCGGAGGCAACCGCCGTGGACGCGACCAGCGGAGGCGACCGCCGCGAACGCGACCAACGGAGGCGACCAGCGGAGGCGACCGCCGCGGACGCGACCAGAGGAAGGCGACCGCCGCGGACGCGACCAGCGGAGGCGATCAGGGGAGACGATCAGCGGAGGCGACCAGGCGCAGCCGCGGGCAACGCGACCTGACACAGCTGTGGGCGACAGGATCAGGCGCAACAGTGAGCGACGCGACTAGGCGCAGCCTCTCGACCGCACCACCCCTTCAGGTGGTGTCGTCACCCAGATTGACCGCACCCGCCCTCCAGCCGGTGTCGTCACCCCCCCCCCCTCCTCCCCCTCATGGCAGACGACTCTACTCCCATTGAGCTCGGAGCTATCGACAAGCTCGAGCTCCTTCATGATACCACCGCTGTGAACTGGGCGTCGTTCGAGGATACACTCCACACCCACCTTGGCTCTGTCATCATCCAGGACTACTGTCTTCTTGACATAGTCCTTGAACACCCTAACGGCCTTCCACCCGTTCTCCCTCCTCCTCCTTGATCCGCCCCCCCCCCAAGCCCCTCCACGTCCAGAACCTATTAGCCCCGCCCCCCATGCTCCAGTTCATGATGATAACCCAGACCGCTGGGCGGCCAACTTGAACAACTACAATAAGCTACGTGACAACTACACTATCCAGCGTGAGGCATACCGTGTTGCTGAGGAAGCCCATGCTATCGCCACTGAGCGCATTCTCCAGTACGAAAAGGATGAGAGGGATCATGCTGCAGAGCTGCGCAAACTTCACAAGGATGTCGCAGCATGGCGTGTCGCGGATCGACGCGCTCTCGCCATCATCATCTTCTCCTGCATTCCCCCACACCTCAAACGTGACCTCCGACCCACTTTCCTCCTCCAGCCTCTGGAAAACTCTCTCCACTCAGTATGATCGCCAGGATCTTCGCTCCCTCCTTGCTCTCTTTCGTAAATTCCAAGACACCACTCTTGACTCCTCTCCCACAGCTGCTGCCTACACCGCCGGCTCATTGATACTGCACAACGCCTCAACGATCGGGGCATTGTCATCTCTGAATCTCTCCTCACTGCACGCATTCTCGACTGCCTCCCCCCCACATATGACACATACCGCATCACCTTACCTCCCGCTACCACCGCCACCCTCCTCCTGTGACCGACACCATCGAATGGCTACTTGACAGTGAAGCAGACCTTCAACGTGACTCCACCACTATCAATGCAGTTCAGACTCGCAACAACACCCACCCCCGCCGGCAACCAGACCAACGGCGGCAGTGGCAGCCAGGCGGTACTGGCGGTGGTGGAGGCAGCCGTGGTGGTGGACGTGGTGGAGGACGAGGAGGAGGACGCAGTGGTGGACGCGGTGGTGGCCGTGGTGGACGTGGCGGAAACGCCTCACCTTCGGGCACCCTTCCCCGTGTCAGTACATCATTCGCTATGGCTCCAACAAAGGTCAGCCATGCTCTCAGACCACTCACACCACTGACACGTGCTTCAAAGCCCTCACTGACGAGTGGTTCGCACGTGGCAACGTTGGCACTCCACCTCGGTGGAACACTGTCTTCCCACGCCCCTCTCTCCATGACATACGCACTCTCCCCGCCTATCAACCCTCTACTCCTAACCTTCACAATGTCCTCGCTCAGCATCTCCCATCTCACATCCTTCAGCAAGTTCAACAGCTTCTCCCCTCGTCCACCCCCACTCCCATCACTCCCACTCCTCCTCCACCCACACCTCCGCCTCCAGTCCCTCCCACTCACTATCCCCCACCCTATGCTGGCTGGCCTTATCCTCCCTATGCTGGATATGGCCCTGGCCCCCCAGCACCTGCTGCCACTGCTGCTGAACAGACCTCCTCCTCGAACAACCCTCCTGGCTACTTACTCCGTTCCCCTCTGCTGGCTTCATAGGACATGTGAACTCTGCTCCTGCTGATCCTCTGTATGCCCATGCTATTAATGAGTCTCTTTTCCAGTACTCCGCCTTTTCCTCCTCCTCCTCATGCCTTGAGTTTATCATTGACAGTGGAGCGACACACACTGTTCTGCGCGATGCAGGCACACTGGTACCCCCTCCCCACTCCCTCCACTATCCACGGAGCTGACTCCAGTTTCACCATCTCTAGTCAACACACCTCCACACTCCCCTGTCCCATCTTCCCCTCCGGTACCGTCACAGGTCTCTACATCCCCTCCCTACGTAACAATCTGGTAGCACTATGTGACCTCACCAGGTTCAATGTCACCGCCCTCTTCCCCGGTCATGCACTCTACTGCGACCTCTTTCACACCACCACTGGCCGCTTCCTCTGTCGCATTCCCCTCTGCCCTCGCACAAACCTGTATACGTACCGCACACCTCGCACCTCCATTCACCACCTCATCGCCCCACACATTACCCCTTCCCCCTCCCCTCACCTCCCCCCCCCCCTTCCCATCCCCTCCCCCATCCCCTCCCCCATCCCCTCCCCCCCCCTCCCCTCCCCTTCTCTTCCCCCCCCCTCCCCCCCCCCCTCCTCCACCTCCTCCTGTCACTGTCGTGACCTCACCCACCCCGCAGTCCTCCTTCACCATAGGTTGGGTCATCCCAACTTTGCCACCCTCCGTCAAACTGTCTCCACCCAACTCCTCGACGGACTCCCCCTCACCCTTCCCCCTCTCCCCCCGTCACCCTCCCCTCCCTGCTCAGTGTGCATTGAAAGCAAACTGAAACAGGCCCCCCACAAGAGTCATCCCTCCTTTTCCCCCCAGCCTCT